TGCCTGCCACACCCAGCGTGGTCCCAGCCTCGTCCTACACCCCCAGTTCCGAGACCCCACCGGGTGAGCGGCCAGGCGCCTGGCTCAGCCCGCTCCACACTCCTCTGCAGCGCCCGCCCTGGGGGGCAGGACTTCTGTGCCCGTGCACACCTAGCGTCTTCACCTGCTCTGCCCTTCCTGGACGCCCCTTTGTGGGGCCAGGGCCGGGGGAGGGGGTTGCCCAGCGGACGGTGAACCAGGGTCCAGGGATCCCCTCGCAGTCCCAGAATTTCTAGCAAAATGGTGGACCCTGGGTAATGGTCTTGACTGTGGGGCCCTGGCCTCACTGGGCTTGGCTTTGCCCGCCGGGAGCGGAAGTGGCCCGAGAGGGCCGCGGGGCCAGCAGCCTGTGGGGTTGGAGGAGCTGCCTCCCGGTCTTACCAGGGCCGTGGGGGGGTGAGGGGGTAGCCAGGCCTGGACCTCTCATCCGCCGGCTGGAAACGCCCGAGACTTCCCGCTCGAGGTGGGGCCCTTGTGCCCGCAGCCGGGCCCGGAGGTGCTGCCCCTGGTGTGGGCCGCAGCTGTAGCCATACAGCCTCCCACTGGGGCCCCGGAGCCGGTGGAGGCAGGACAGGGTCAGGCAGTCAGGGCCTGGGAGGTGGAGGGGAACCTGTCCCCTGGTTCTAGGGGCAGTGGGACCCGGGCGAGTTCAAGGTCAGGGGGGGATCCCTGTTCTCCCCCCCCCCCCCCCCCCCCCCCCACCAAACTCCACTCTGCTTACAGCCCCATCTTCTCGGGAGGCTGGCCTGCAGGCCAGCCGGCCGCCTGAGGAGCCCAGTGCCCCAAGCCCCGCGCTGCCAGCACAGTTTAAGCAGAGGGCACCCATGTACAACAGTGGCCCAAGCCCTGCCGCGTCCACGCCCTCGACGCCCGCCTCTCCCCTGACGCCCACCACACCCCCAGCCGTCACCCCTGCTGCCCAGACGCCTCCCGTGGCCATGGTGGCGCCACAGACCCAGCCCCCTGCCCAGCAGCAGCCTAAGAAGAACCTGTCCCTCACGGTAGGTGCGCCCTGGGTGGGCTGAGGGCCGCCACACAGGGGCTGTGGGGGTGTCCGCCTCGCCCAGGTACCCACGCCCCCTGTCCGCGTTCACAGAGGGAGCAGATGTTTGCCGCGCAGGAGATGTTCAAAACGGCCAACAAAGTCACGCGGCCCGAGAAGGCCCTCATCCTGGGCTTCATGGCCGGCTCCCGAGGTGGGTGTGCGCGGCCGGCCCCGGGGGCGGGGCGGGGGGGGGGAGAGCCCCTGGGGGTGGGGGCTCCCCAGCGCCCCGCCCAGCAGCGCCTGCCCTCCGCAGAGAACCCGTGCCAGGAGCAGGGGGACGTGATCCAGATCAAGCTCAGCGAGCACACGGAGGACCTGCCCAAGGCGGACGGCCAGGGCAGCACCACCATGCTGGTGGACACCGTGTTCGAGATGAACTACGCCACAGGCCAGTGGACGCGCTTCAAGAAGTACAAGCCCATGGCCAACGTGTCCTAGGGGCCGCTTGCCGCCCGGGCCCCGCCACAGCCTTAGGTTCAATCTCGGGGGTGTTCCGGACTTGTTTTTTAACTTTGAATATGGGTTACCTTTTGTGTGATTTCAGATACTTTTTTGGATTCAGGATTACATTTTTGAATGTTCGTTAACCAAAACAGTTATAACTTCCTAGTTTTAGCAACAGCTCTGCTTATTAGACTTTTATCTATTTTTTCTTAAATCCCACTGACCACGAAGAAGGGCTTTTCCTTGCTAGTGCGACGCCCTCCCTGCCCCAGGAGGTTGAGGGGACCAAAGCGCTGCCCGGCGAGGTCGAGAACAGGGTGAGGACGGGCCGCCGAGTGGCCAAGGGCGGGAGACGCGGGGCCGCCCGCAGCTTTTGTACTTGTCTTTTGTACGGTTGTGAGCCTTGAGACCGGTCGTCTGGTACCCGTTTTCATTGTAAAACCATCTGAGAAATTAAAGGTCTAGCTTTTCTAAAGAAAGCGCCGGAGCGGTGTCTCGGGCCAGCCCGTCCTCTGCTCCAGGGCACGGCCCCGTCGGGGTGGGGGGTGGCGAGCAGGACGCTCCCTCCCCGAGGTGGGGGGAGTCAGGGCCAAAGGCTCAGGGAAGACAGAGGACCTGGAGCCGAGCGCCCGCTCAGAAGCGTCAGCAGCCCCTGACCGTGTCACGTGCGACGGGGGTTTGCTCATCAAAGTGTTTAGAAAGAAAAAAGCCTTTTTCGGAAAGGAGAGCTGCCCTCGCTGTAGGTGGTATCCGCTCTCCCTCCCGAGGCCACGGTCAGCCTCCCCGGCAAGTGAGAGGCGGAGCCAGTCTGAGGATGGAGCCCTTCTGGAGGGAGGGCGGGTCGGGGCTGTGCCAACAGCCTGGAGATGACAGACCGAAGTAACTAGAAAAGCGGGGGGGGGAAAGCCCAAAACTTCAAAATGCAATCCCATAGAAAATAAGTTTAAGAAAAAAAGCCTTTAAAAAGTTTTTAATACAAAAATACATACAGTTTTCCAAACACAGCTTCCCACTTTAAATGCTATTCTCCCCTCACTGTCTACAGTTCAGTCTATCTCCCCCCCCCCCCCCCCCCCCCCCCCCCCCCCCCCCCCCCCCCCCCCCCCCCCCCCCCCCCCCCCCCCCCCCGGCCAAAGGAATTTCAAGTTTTTAAGTCTAGCGAAGCCGGTGGTAGCACCGTGTTCCTATGAGGAGCCTGACCTCATTCTGGATGAAGCTTAGACACCAATAGGCACATTAAAATTCATATTTAATTTCTGACAGGGCATTTCACATCTCAACAGGGTACGCTGGACACCAGGATGCCCGCGACAGCATTCCCTCTAGTGACTAACATCCAACACTATGCTGCTCAGAGGATACGAGAATTTGGCAACAGTCGTTTGCATTAACTTTCCTCAAAACAGGCTTATCTTTAATTCCTGGAAATAAGGTAGTTCTGGAGGAATGGGCACTGTACACACTGTGGTTTTTATGTCAAGATAAGAATTTCAAAGGAGTCAGAAGTGCAGACCTGAGTGTGTGTGAGGCCTGGGAGGCAAGGGAGGCAGAGTGTCCACACGGTTCCTGACAGGACAGGGCAAATGGGGTCACCTGCGCGCCACTCGATGCCCCACGGTGGTCGTATTTCCTGACTGCCACAGTGGCCGCGTCCCCGTGCCCCGTGCGGTGTGCGTGGCGCCCGAGTCCCCAGGGGCCAGTGCTGGCACAGGCAGGCGCCACCTCGCAGGCCCGGTGCTGGTCGTTCCTGAAGCCGAGGGATCCGGAGTCGTTGGGGCGGCTTTCGTTTTGTTTCTGCTTCACGTTTGTGACAAAGGACTGAGTCCCCCTCCCCCCCGCCAAAAAAAAAAAACCAAAAATGAGCTCTCCCTCAGATTGCGAGCAAAGCCCTAGTGGGAAGGCCCTTTGAACTCAGTCGCCCCACAGCCTTGTCCTCAGATTCGTAAACCAGTTTTCTAGAGATTTTCAAAGTTAGTGTTACTTGCTCATTAGTTTTAAGCTTTTGGAAAGAGGGTAACCGTGTTTAAAATAATTTTTCCAGTACTTCCTTCAGAAAGATCGTAGAATTCGAAAATATCAAAGTGACTCAAAAATCACAAGATTTTACTACTGTCAAATACAAAAATAAGTTAATCTGCTCCCCAAAGTGCACTGCAAAGCCAGTCTGATGGTCTGGCTTCTGCGGAAGTCCCTTAGCTGGTGGGAGAGAAGTGAGGGGCAAGGCCGCACCCAAGGCCGGGCCGGGAAGAGTGGAGCCCGCAGGCCTCGGGCATCTCTCCGGCCCGGAGCCAGAGTGCGAGGGTGAGGAAACAACCCTCCAGGTTGTTCGGGGGATAAGGAGCATAAGTCTATAAACCAATCCAGTATTTTCTTAGGACGATTTGAGAGAAACGAGTTCTACACTGAAAACGCCCCACAGTCCCCAGGTCTCACTGAGCAAGTGCATTTCCAGAGGTCACCTAAGCCGCACGCAGGAGGGGTCCACTGATGACCAAGCTCTCCGGTCCTTCGTGGCCGCGTACGGCTCCTTCCTCCAGGATCACGATAGAAGGGCAGAGGGACGCCCACAGTTGGTAAGACCCAGCTCGTCGCGAGCGAGGCCCCATCGGCACCATGGAGCCTCACGCCTGAAGCAGACTCTTCCCCGGGGGTCAGAGCCTGGCATAGACTGCCACCCTCAAGAGCTCATGTCACCGAACCACAGAGAAACAGTGACCGGGGGGGCCTAGGTCCCAGTGCGTCCTGCAATTGCACGAGGCAGAAGCGATGATGGAAGAGGAACAGACAGAAGACCTCATTTCAGCAAGGGACGTGTGCACGTCTCTGCAGAACAGATGTCCCTCGGTCGTCTTAAGAGAACGGACCAGAAACAAGCATCTGTTGCTGAGCATCCCCTTCCCCCCATCGTGAGCATGGAGACTGTGGGCCCCACAGGCCACACCTGGCTGCCTGGTGTCCGGGACCCCCGCCCTCGGTGCTCCGGACCCCCCCAGGGTCAAGAGAAACTTCCAAAGAGAAGAGACCTTGGTGCTCCCAGGAGCCTCTCCCGAGGTGTGGCCGGGCCCCGGAAGGAGTACAAGTTAGTGGCATCTCACCGGGAAGCTCCGGGCCCCCGGCGCACGGGCACGTCTGGGCGGCGTCCTGGCGGGGCGCGTACAGCCAGCGCAACTGCCATTTCCCACGAACAGACCCCCAGGGCTGACGGGATGGTAGCCACCAGGCGCGACAGTCCTAAACTCTGGGTCCCTCCTCAGACCCCGAAAGAACAGTTTTCAGAAAAGCACGTCTCCCAGGTGCAGAGCACCTGGTGGTGCCCTGCCGCTGGGCCACGGGCACGCGCAGTCCCGACAGAACCGATCCGCGGGCCTAGCGCTTCACACAAGCTCACCGCAGGGCCGCACCCCCGTCGAGTTGGCTCCTTTCCCTGGGAGAGCTCAGGGCCACGTCAGTAAAGACACATTTCAGCCGGTGGTGATTTGTGAAACAGGTTTAGCAAAAATATATTGAGAATAAAAGCCAGAAACTGGTCAAGAAAAGCCAAATGAAAAAAATATACAAAGTCTTCCCCCCAGTGCTGGTAAGAACCTAGTGCGTTCAGGAGCCGCGCCAGACCCGGGCCGGAGCCGCCGCTCCGAGAGACCCCAGCGTGCAGGGCCCGTGCGGCGGCGCCATTCAGTCCAAATCCACGACCGACAAAACTACGGGGGCAGCTTACACCACTACCACTACCCCCTCTCCTGGGACCGGCCCCTCACTAGGATGGAAAAGAAGCATTTTGAGGAAAAATTTCACATTAGTACAAAACAAGGCATACAGCTGTTGCATAAGAGCAAAATAATGATCAAAACGATAGTTTGCAAGGAATCTGGGGTCTGAGTCCCTGCCCGGGCCCCACCCTGGGCTCGCCTGGGCGACGCGGACAGGTGAGCAGGCCCGGTTAGCGCCGCTAAGGTGAAAGGTAGGAGTGACCCTTTAGAAAAATACTACTCTCTACATTTCAGGTGAGATAAAAACATTTCAAACGCCAATTAATTTCCATTTATAACTTTACCCTACAAAAATAGAATGGGAGGGAACCTTGACATTCTCAGAAATTCAAGTGTAGCTGTAATGCTGTGTAGTAAGGCTGGTTTGTCCTGGAACCTTCCGAACCTCACGGCTCAGACGGGTCATCAGTGCAGACGCAGCGGGTGCTGCTGAGGATGGCTCAGTGGTGGACAGGCGCTCCCTCCCCGGAGGCCTCCGCGGCTTCGAGCTGGGTCCTCCGGGCCAGTTCCCCCCTCCCGCCCCCACCCTGTGTGGCCCTCTACCCCTGGATCTGGCCGAGCCGCCGCCTGGCGCTATTTGCCTTCCGTGACCCTCCGCCAGCACCTCCTTTTCTTTCTCTTCCCCTTGGACTTGCTGGGTTCCAGAAAGGGCTTCCCAGTCTGGGCGCTCCGAGCCGGCGCGGCCCCCAGGTCGTGCTCGCGGCAGCACGGCCGCCCGTCCCGCGTGGAGCCGAGGACCGCCCCGTCCTGGTGCTGCTTGCAGAACGAATTGGGGCAGAAGTGGCAGAAGGACGTGGAAGGCCTGCCGCACACGTCACAGTGATGCCAGGGGCACTCCCACTTGCCTGCAACGGAACACACGTCGTCAGCTGAAATGACGGGAGCGTCAGCATCCTGAAAACCAGTCTTCAAGCCGTCCGTGAAACTAGCACAGACTCGACGCGCCCCCCCCCCCCCCCCCCCCCCCCGCTGATGGAGGGGAGCCGGGCGGCAGGCGGAGGCCGTGGCCCACGCTCCTGGGTCCCGCTGGCACTCTGGCCTCTCTGTGACCTCGCTGTGTCCTGGACCGGTTTTCTACTGGGGATTCGATCTTTCCAGCATTATTTCGTAACAGATTGTTAAGCAGGGATTAGCATCCCGTCACCTGCACGTGCTCTGCTCTCGCATTTGTCTAGAAAGTCTTGCTTTGTTGTCTTTTGCACATAATCCTTTTTCTTTTATACTCAAACATGTTGACTTTTCTTTGTATAGCTTTTGGTTTGGATAAGGGTCTGTTTTACTTCTGAGACTACAGTTAACATTTCACACCGATACCTGTAATCTCTCCAACCCCAGGCTGTGAGAACAAGGCCGAGCCCACCCTGTGTCCCCCCTCCCGGCCCTGCACGTTTCGGGCTGGCTCTGGGGGTCCCCTTCCTACGACAGCTGACAAAGCTGACAGAGCTCTGCTCCCGGAGCCAACGCTTCTTCCCGCGCTCCAGCCCCCGCTCGGGCCAGTCCGAGGGGCTTCCCAGCCGTGCCGGCCACAGACCCAGCCTCCATGTGCAGACCTCCCTGGGGCGGGCCCCGCTTCCGGATTCGCCAACGAGTCTGTGACCAGGAGGGGAGCCATCAAAAAGGACCGCCCCCCCGCCAAAGGCCGCCGAGGGGCCCCGCTCACCCACCGAAGGGCCGCTTGCCCAGGCCCAGGCACGACAGGTGATAGGCCTTGGTGCAGGACTTGCGGTCACACAGCACCAGCTGGCCGCCGTCCCCACAGCGGAAACACTCGTCCTCAGATTCCTTCTTCCCTTCGCCTCTGGTTCTCCGCCGCCTCGTTCTTTTCTTGGTCTTTTTGCCCTTTTCCTCTGAAGAAAGGGATGTTGAGGTCTGGAGAGAAAGAAACACAGTGTGCTTACAAGACCCGCACGGACGGAAGCAGTAACAGAAGGAACCACGGGGAGAGACCACAGCCGCGGGGCAGGTGTGTGCATCTGGGGGACTGTGGACATGCTTTCGCTGGGAGAAGCCGGCGCGAGGACGAGGAGCGCGCCCCCCCGGGGGCCCCCCATCCCGCACGCTCCTCTTCTGCTCCGTGGAGTGCAGAGCGCGGCAGGTAAGACCAGCCTCACCGGAAGCTTCTGCAGCAGCAGCTCTCAGCAGCCCCCCAGACCTGCCGGGGGGGCACACGCCCCCACGGGGTGCACCCTTAGCCCTTTCCCATGAGAACTGCATGGTGAGTGGGAGAAGCAAAATCATTCCCTTGGCTGAAGCGGCAGGTGCCGTGGACACCCCAACCCCGGGCCAGATGCCTGTGATTCCCCCAGTGTTTGGGGCCCAGGCAGGCACGTTCATTGGGCCCAAATTCACGACCTGCCCATTTGATTCCCATTCAGAATCTCGGAACAGGAAGTGGCTTGGAAACGGTGTTGATGCATCCGGTGTAACACGTTGGGATGAGGTGCCACTGGGGCAGGGCAGGCCCTTAACCCAGAATGACTGGCGTCCTCGTGAGAAGAGGAAGGGATGCAGAGACAGCGAGGAGGCCCCGTGAAGATCAAGCCGGGGGTGAGAGGAACAAGCCCACGAGCCAAGAACGCCGAGGCCGGTTGGGAACCGCCAGAGGGAGCTCGGCTCAGACAGCGCTCTGGCTGCAGGCTTCCGGCCGCGGCGGGGCGTGCCCCAGAGACCCCTCGTGCCCGCCACAGCTACCCGCCAACCTGGAAGAGGGGACGGACGTGCGCGCAGACGTCGGGAAGGCTGGCGTCCGCGACCTTACCTTTGGTCTGTCCCCAAGGAACCCGCTGCAGTTGGAGGCCCCACACCGACAGACTGTCTTCTCGTTACCCAAACAGTCGAGGTTGTAGTTAAAGGTCAGCTCTGTCCCTAGGAGAGAAGAGACACGCCACCCTGGAAACACTTTCGTTAGGTCCACAGCGCACACTGCTACTCGCTTGTGCCCACACGGATGTCACGGCCACTTGCCCGCCTCCCTCCAGCCTCGCGGCGTCAGGGGAGCCTGCGGAGGTGTCATACCTGCGGGGATGTCGCACACGGCAAACAGGCCCACGCGAGTGTCCCCGTTCACTGTCCACTTGAGGGTCTCACAGTTGGGCTGGCAGCTGTGGTTCATGAATCGGGAGTAGTTTCCTTTGGGGCCGGCATCAATTATCCGGTCCTGTAAGTTACAACTCGAGTTTGAAGCAGCATTTAGACACGGGGGCAGCCCTTAGCCGTTACGCCCTCCTTTAAAAGGAACTTTCCCCGGCTCGCAGCCTGGCCGACAGTGTTGTACTGGAAACCGTGGTCTCCCGTGTCCACTCAGACAGGACACCCCCAAGCCAGTCCCGTTTCTCTCACTCACGGAGGGCAGGTCAGGACCACGTGGCGAGGACCAAGCCCCAGTGAGTGCTGGTGAGGAAGGGGCGGCCGGCGGGCGCGCCCCAACAGCAGCCAGCAGGTGACAGACAAGCCAGGAGGGAAAGGAAGGTCACCGCCGACGGCCGCCAGCGACTCCCACCAGTGGACACGAACAACAGGAACCTAGTTCCAAAATGGGCGAACGACATAAACACACAGTTCCCGAAGATCGAACCCAGACGCACAAGCACTCGGCGAGGCGTCCGCGCTCCCAAGCAGTGGAGGAAACGCAGAGGAAAGGACAACGAAACCTGACCGCACGGGGTGACGGGGTGGCGGCAGGAAGGGTGTGGATTAGAGTCGCCTGGCACCAGTGAAAACCACGATTACGCAGACATTGTGTCCTGTCCCGGGGCCAAGCCCTTGACGGTACCGGTGCGCATGCGGTCACCGTCCAGGAACGGGGACAGTGCAGCCTGGAGGTCCCTGCCCTGTGAGGGGGGCAGTCGAGGTGAGAGATACACAGGGGAGCAGGGCACTTAAGATCAGGCACACACGGACGGCACTGTGGCCGTGGGTTTGCGCAAAGCTGTGTGAAAGGGGTGAATGTGCAAGCACACTTAATCTACACCCACACCAGCTGTTCCTTTCGATACAGGAATGTGACCAGAGTGGGCTTGCTCTGCAGGGTTCCCTTTCCCACCGGGTCAGGGCCCCTTAACCTCCTGCCCAGTGTATCCTTACCACGGCGCAGCCCCGGCCACCCACACTTTCCAGGGCACACTTCCCGGCTGAGGGCGTGCAGGATTGCACCCGTGGGCAACCTGGTGACCTGCAGCTCCCTGTGTGTGTGTGTGTGTGTGTGTGTGTGTGTGTGTACACACATACATACATTCTGGACACCAGACCCTCAGGAACTAGGTGTCAAGTCTTTCTCCTAGGCAAACACTCGATTTTTAACTTTATAGTTAGTACCTTTTCTCACTCAAAACTTGCCCAGTTTTCCTAACTGTTTTTGTTCATCTTTCACTCTATGCGATGCGCTCGGGGTCTGTGGCCAGCCTTGCACAGCCTCCTCTAAGTTACGCACGAGACCTCTTGTTTCCTGGCTCCTTAATGCATCTGGAAGACCTACTCTTGTGAGCACAGTGAGGGGGCACACTGCCCCATCACCTGCCACTGGGACTGGGCCACACATTCACAGGTAAGCCACGGAGGGTAAGCCACGGAACAGGAGCGAGCGCCGTTCAGTCCTGCAGACTTGGCCCTCTGCATGGGCTCTAGATGGCCCGTCAACGTTTACTTTTAAGTTGTTAACATTTGCGTGGACATCACGGCAATCTTACATTTGGGAAGACGCACATCGTGACATTTCCTCTCTCTACCAGAAATAGCCATGTCTTGTTCATTTGTACCCTCTCACGTGTCCCGCGGGAGAGCTGTCGCAAGTGTTTCCGTGTGTGGGGGGGGGCCCCAGACACCCATGCGCATGGCCTCCGTGAGCCTTCCCCTGCGTCGCCGCGGCTGCAGGCTCCCATCCCTTCCCGAGGCGTCTCAGGCCCCAAGTCAGGGGCAGGTGTTTGCAGCTTCGCCAAACAGGAAGAAACTTCTCCTGGTTTCCGAGTTTTCATTGGGAGGGAGCAGGCTTACATGGCCTCAGTGGATTCCTCGGCATGCGTGAAAGCGACCACAGGTGTGCCTTCCTCCTGTCAGTCAGTCCTGGGCCGGGAAGGCCCCTGCTCTCCCGGGGGTGGGGTGGGGGGCCCATGCACCCGCCCATGGGCCCCAAGCCCACTCCCTCTGCCCCATCACTGGTCGGGGCCTGGGTGGGGGGTGGGGGAGGGAGTGTGTCTTTGGAAAGTACAGGACACCTGTGTTATGTGTGTGTGCGCGCACAAGAGTGTGTTGCACTGTTTGCTACCTGCTAAAGTTGTGTGTTGACTTCAGTTCCCTCATTAACTGTGTTGTTCTTTCAGGCAGAGTTTGTCTATCTGCCCAGGGCCCCTCCCTCTGCCCAGGAGGCACACGCACAGCAGACTGGCCTCCCTGGCCTCTCCCGGCCTCCCTCACTGTTGCCCCACGAGGGATGTGGCAACCAATTTATGGACCAATTTGGGAATCTCTAAATAGGTGAGTTAATTCAATTCCTTTTTTTTATAGACAGAATGATACGCAGGGCACAAGTCTAACCTACCAGCCTGTTCTGTTTGTGGGCGGCCTCCTAATCCTTTCACTGTGAAGTAATGTGCTTTTCGTTACAACTTTCCTGTCACGTTGGACGTTTTGTCCTCCCGACCACCCTTCATAAACAGCCTGGCATTTCCAGCCGTGTGTGGCACCCACAGGCCCACCACCATGGCCTCAGGGACCCCACGTGACCAGTGCCACTTGCTCCCGGAGTTGCCAGCTCTGGTGAGAGGTGACCTGGGCTGCCCTTCGCTGTTCCTTTACTCCTATCAGGAATGATACCTCAAGCACGCTCAGCCTGCTGGCTTATTATTACGTGAGTCACAGAGTTTCAAATCAGATTCCCGTATTTTAGCCAATCTAAACCTTAATCTTATAAATTAAGCCATTTACATTTATTGTGATCATTGCCATAAATGTATTTTTGGGTCTCAGCCATGGTTTGCTTTTTTTTTGTTTGTTTTGCTTTTTGTTTTGTTTCTTTAGAGAGAACAAAGGAGAGGGGGAGAAGAGAGAGAGAATCGAGAGAATCCCAAGCAGCCTCCACACTCATCATGGAGCCTGATGTAAGCCTTGAACCCATGACTCTGGGATCACGACCTGAGCTGAAATCATGAGTTGGATGCACAATCAACAGAGCTAATTACCCTCTTTTCTCTTTTTACCTCCCTCCTACCTCACTGTCTACTTTTCTTTATGCCCCTTGCTACTCATCAATGACCTGGAAGTCACACCTTCCATTTCTATCCGTTTAGTAACTTCCAGTGTAAGTTTAACATGTATACTTTGCCAAAGTATAAAATTAATGAGCTCTCACCCCTGCATCCACACAAAACAAGCAGCTCACACTGGCTTCATGCCACCACTTCTGACCATCAGTGTCCCCTGCTGACACCACAGCCCCTCCTGCCCAGCAGTCACCGCCACAATTCGGCACAATGCCAGCTGGCCAGGCCTGTACAGGTGTGCCCACTGTGGACTTGCTTGCGCACCACACCTGCTTGCGTCTTGCAGGTCACTTCTGAAGCCCTCTTTTTCCTCAGTGGTACTTGACTGTGGGTCAGGGGCTACCGCCTGCCACTCTGTGCTGCGTCTTCTGGCCACTGTCACATGTGGAGGAGTCCGAATGTTTGGCTGTTGCTCCTGGAACATGCTCTTCTCTCTTCTGCTTTCAGTTGTTGCCGTCTCTACTACCCATGTTTGCTACTTTTGGATTTTTAATAGCGTCTCTGGGTATATGTTTATTCTTAGTCATCCTGGTCAAAACTTGTCAGTTTTATCTGATTCCAGAAAATCCTTTTCCCACATGACCTTTGCCCCTGTTCTCGTCTTTGCTTCCACAGCATCTACTAAACGTTTCTACCTTCTGTGTCTCCTGGCCTCTCTGACAAAGTTTTCATCTTTTCCTTTTCCTGTGCCGCAGCCAACAGCCTCTCTGATCCCGGCTTCCGCTCCAGCCATTTGCCCTGTGGTTGCCCAGCGTCTTCTCGGCTGCCTTCCGGGCTCATCTCAACTGTGTGTTAGCTCTTGGTTTGAGGCGTGATCGCCACATCTCCTTTAATGGCTTCAGCCGTTTCTAACACCGTCAATGCTTGTTGTCAGGCTTCAGTCTTACTACTTCTGATTCTCACCAGAAGCGAAGACTTTGTGAAGGTTGCTCACGGAGACCTTGTTCGACGGTGCTCTGTAAACGTTTAAGTGGGACTTCTGCTGTTTTTATAGCAACAGCGAGGATGTGAGGTATGAGTTATTTAAGTGTCTCTCGTGTGTCATTGGCTTTAACTTTTTCTTCAGCCAGGGACCCTACATGAATTATTAGGGTTCAATAATTTCAGGGACCAATTTGCGTGTTAAATGGTCAACTTGGTATTTCTTACAACATACAGGTAGTTCACATTTAGACTCCAAAACATGGTAAGACACATTTTAAATGGTAAACTTCAGATAAAATAACTTCCCTCACCACTACCGCCAAAAAGGGAGGGGGAGGGCAGAGGGAAACATAAATCCGTTCCCCCTGGGCCAGGTTTTTGGGCCCCTGCCCTAGGACCACAGCCCTCTGAGGGGCCTACGCAGGCGCCTCAGCTCCCGCTACCCGCCGGGCCCCCGAGCAGGCCGTGGCAGCGGTCCCCACGTGGGGGTTGGCCCCCAGGAAGCTGCACATGGGGACCCCTGCTTCCGCGAAGCGGGCTCCCTGCCCCTCACCCGCCACCCTACACAGCTGTTGTGGACACTCAGTTCTCCCTCGTCAGCAGCTGGGCATTCTTGTTTTCTGCTACTTCTGTACCACGGGGTCCCTGTTGGCCAGCCGTGGGGTCTGCCAGCCCTGCACCCTCCAGAAGCCCCCCCACCCCAACAGGCCCAGGGGAAGCCCTGCCCCTCTGCAGGGCGAGCCCTCCACCTTTCTAACCAATTCCTTTACCTTAAAATTTTTTTAACTTACGGGAAGAAAAACAGATTACTACAACGGATGCCAGCACGCCTTCACTCAGACGCACGGACTACTGACATTTTCACACAATGCTTTCTCCGTGTCACCTGTCACACAGACGCGCACGCTTCCACATGCGTACATGTTTGCACACGCGCTCCTCCCCCTCAGCCTCTGCAATTGAGTTCCTTGGACACTCGAACCCCCGACACATCACACGCTGCCCACGAGGAGCTCCCTGTACAGACACCGTCAGCGCCGGGACACGGAACCCCAGGAACAGCACCATGTCCGTGGGGGGCTTCCGCACAGCCTGCAGGACGCACCGTCCCGGCTCCCAGCCCTAAGGGTTAGGGTCTTGGCAGGAAGCGCACACGGACTGTGGCATGTCCCTCATCTCCTCGTGGGGCCCCAGGCCTCCCTGGGGACGACCCTACAAGGTCCCTGGGACCATCCTAATCTCTACCATGGCTGCTCCACAGACCTCATCACTGAGTTATTAAAATTGTTAGGTGTGTGATCATTTTCTATCTCGTTTCCAACCATCCTCCAAAGTGGCCACGTGTTCCCGCTAGATGTGGGCTTAAGGGCAAGCAGTGGACACACGTGTGGCGTCCGCCTTTCCCGCACACGGCACTCGGGCATCAAGCAGGCTGCTCCTGGGGCCGGACCAGCGTGCCGCGCAGATCCCGGGAAGGGCCGTCACCAGCGGGCATGAGCCAACCCGCGAGCATCCCACATGCGCCTTCCTCCGTTCATCCCCACTGGCGCCCGAGCCATGCTGCCCCCCTCCCGCCGAGGACGTCAGTCCCTCTAGCTGACATGTGCTCCAGCCAAAAACGTGTAACTCTCCTAATCTGCGCTTTTCTCCGCTTTTTACTGACCCTTAGTCCAACTGTTTGGTGCTTTCTGCACGCGCCAGCAGGACACATGCAGACAGGCCTCCCCGTGGCTGCCAGGAGACACTGTGGCCCTCAGGACGCCCTGTCTGTGGTGAGTGTGTAGAAGGTGCCAGGCCCAGGTGAGCCCTGGGAAGAGCGGGCAGCACTACCTTGTCTATGGTGAGCATGTAGAAGTGCGTGATGTCGTTCTCATGAGCGTGCTTGATCCTGGCCATGCACTCCTCCTCATCAATCAGCTCACCGACGTACTCGTTCACGAACTCTCCCTGGAAGGCAGAAGAGCACGACCGTGAGAAACAACGGGCTCTGGGTACAGGAGCCTGGACCGCGTGCACACGTCACAGTGCCGTCCGGGGCGAGTCTTCCCAGGTCCCTGCGAGTTCAGGTCTCTCCAAGCGACTCCATACACAGGCTATCAAGGAACAGTTCACCCCAGTGTCCTTCCCAAAGCAATACCCTAACTCTTGCTTCCTGCGGGAACCGCCTCTGGGCACCCTGGCAGCGCACCCCTCACGTCCACGCAGCTGGCAGCCGCGGTTCGCCTTCCTGGCAGAGTCCACACGGCAAGAGTCCGGAGGGACTGACTGCCCAGGCAGGCAGTGGGACCAGACAACAGGGACTGTGCGCGTTTCAGAGCAGCCGCCCTTGCCCAGGATTGGCCCCTGGACTAGACCTGGGGTCTGAGGCTGCCCCCACCCCCCGCCATGGCCTGGCCTCGCGAGCAGTTCCGGTTGCTTCTCTCCTTCGCGAGCACACCTGGCCGCTCAGCCTGGGACACGGGCGACCTGTGTGTGGCCTCGATGACGACCTGGTCCCGCGCTGTGCCAGGTGGAACGGCCGCTCGGCCCGGGCAGGGCTCCTTCACGGTCTTCCGTGTCATAGAGCAACCACCAAAATGCCAAGTGGAGGCGCGGCGTCAGGGGCCTGCACAAGTTACTTTGCTAGACCTTCATGGAACGTTTTACGACACCGGTGTACTAACTCGGACTTTAAAAAACCCCACTCTTATGGGACTGCAAAAGCGTACTACACAAATCTGAGTCTGAGCCACCAGCTGAGCCTCGATCTCTTAAAAGCAAGAAAGGGGCTCGGCACACACCTTCCTGATGTCCCGCTTGGCCACCAGGCCCCACCCTTTGCCAGCTGTCTTGACGACCTTGGTCTCGGGGTACTGGCGCTTGGTGAAGTGCTGGTTCTGGCAGTGCTCGCCTGCGGGGCACACCTGCGGGTGGCACTCGAACATCAGCATCCGGTTCAGGCACTCGGAGTCGAAGCCACAGGGGTTCTCGTCTGTGGGCTTACAGTTGCACTTGGGGATCTCAGAGATGTCCGCCGTGTAGATCTGGACTTTCCCGTACGGCTTGTTCACCTGCCGGGGACATGAGGGCGCGTCAGAGAGCAAGCGCCCGGTCTCCCGCCATTCCCCACGCATCACAGGGGGTGGTGGGGGCCACGGCCCATACCCCGCAGGCCAGCCTGGGACCTGGGAGCTCCGGAGGCGGGTGCACTGTGGCCCGCACCGCGCCCATCCCTTCCTGCTCCTCGCTCTCGCTCGTCCAGCCAGGCTGCCAGAAGGGAGGCGCACGAGCGCGCGCTGAGCACGGCGCAGGGTCCCTGCAGCTGGGGACCCACGGGCGGGCAACCAGGGCGGCAGCGCAGGCTCTGCCGTCGCAGACTTGTGGTTCATGGGGACAGAACGAGAGCAACCCAACAGCGACGCCATGGAGAGGGGCAAAGAGAAGCTGAGGCAGAGACCAGTGACGCAAGGGGAAACGTGGTAGAAGCCAGCCCCCCCTCACCGCCGGGCCGGGACAGCGCAACACGGAGGCGTGACCTGAACACCCGCCTCAGGAACCCTCGGGTCCCAAACTCTTTGACCCAGTAGCTCCGTTTCCGTGAACTCACCCCTGAGAAAATCGCCCAGAGAAGGCCTCCCTCACGTGCACAGACGTGCTGTGCTGAGGTGCCACGCCCTGGGGGGCAGGACCCGGTGACGCCGGCTCACCAAGCGCCGTGGCCGTGAGCAGCACCCGGACCGCTCCCCTCTCTGGACCTCTCTGGGACTGGGGGGCGCCCAGGATCCCTGCGGGGACGCCTGGCCTCACCAGAAGCAGCACAGCCGCCCGCACGGTTCCCACGCCCTCTGAGGCGGGAGCACCGCTCTGTCTCCAGGGCTCCGGCTGACGGAGCCGCGTTCCAGCCGAGCACCGGCCCGGGCTGGCCGCCTCTCATCCACGCGCGGCCCCGGCGCTCGGTGACGGCACGGTCCGGGAGGCCTGCCCTGCCCTTGCTGCCCCGGAGCCCGGCCGGCTACCAGGCGGAGCCCCGCAGCCCCGCACCCGCCACCCTCCCGGAAGGGACGCGCTTGACCACGGCTGCACCTGCCTGCCTCCTGTGACCCTCGGGCGACCGTCCACACGGGGCTGCAGACGCCTGCTTGTGGCGGCCCTCCTCCCCCCGCAGCCGGAGGGCCAGGCGTGCGATGCCCGAGAACCACCCACGGTCCCCACGGCGGCCCCGACCTGCCCCTCCAGCGCCCGTCACCTTGATGTGCTTGTACGGGGGAGGCTTGCGCTCACTCTCCTGCGTTTCTCTGGCTTCCCGTTGAAGTTTGATTTCGCGAAAACGAGCTTCAGCTTCCTGCAGTGCTGAAAAGTCCACGGAACGTGAGCGTGAGCAGGGGGTTTTAGCAGATCCACCTACAGGCTCTGCATCCCGGTGGTCGGCGCGAACCCCGTCTCACGCTGAGCGCGGTTCCCAGGCTCCGGGAGCGCCCGGGGTGCGCGCACCGCACACCTGCCTTACCTGCCGCGAGGCTCTTCCACCCAAGATGCTCGGAGAGCGCCCGGCTGAGGGGCCCCCGCGGTGCTGTTGTGGGCCACCCGCCGCCAGGAAGGCCCGGGGCGGGTGGGATACGGCCCCACCGTCCACGGGGACCTAACGTCCTCTCGGGAGGACACGCGCTCTAGGGGGGAGCATCAGGCCCAAGTGAGGGCGGAGGTGGAACCCCGGCCTCCCCACCCCCCGCGGACTCCAGCCCTGAACACGACTAAGTCTAGTTTCAACATCTCTGCCGTTCCCTTACGAGTTGCGAAAATCTTTCCCGTCAGCCCTCCGCTACCCAGTGCGCGTGAGGCCCCGCAGGAGACAGACGTCCCCTGTCCGCGGCGGGCTTGCCCTCCCTGGACGAGGACGAGCCGAGCGCACGCCAAGTCCCCGTTCCGTCCCACTCAGTCTCGGCCCCGAGGAAATGCCACCGCACCCAGTCAGGCCATGGCCTTCCCATCGCGTCTGTCTCCCTGGCTGTGGATTCCGGGCGGCACCTGTCTACCTGCCCACCTGGCCCTTCCTGGGGCCCCTGACCTAGAGGCAGCAGAGTTTTCTCCACATTTCCATCTTACATAGCAGGCAAGACAGAAGACGTTTCTGTAACCCAGGACTGAAATAATTTCTTAAAAGGTCACCTCCACCGCGGGGCGCCTGGGGGGCTCAGTTAGTGAAGCTTCCGACTCTTGCTCTCGGCTCAGGTCATGGGCTCTGCGCGGACGTTGCAGAGCCTGCCTGGGGTTGCCTCCCTCCCTGCCCTTCCCCCACTCACTCTCTCTTTCAAAATCAATAAACTTAAAAAACTTTTTAAAGTAAAAACAAAACAGCTTCCGATGTACATGAGTGAAATTAATCACAAACCAACGCTGTAAACGTTATGTAGCAGTACTTTTTATCCTGTGGCTCCACAGTCTGCAAACCCACGTTTTTCTAGTTAAAGTACAGGCAGAGAGCCTCACCCAGTGTTTTCTACAGAAACCAAACTTTCAAACGACAGAAATCAGTATTAGCAGAAGTGCCCAGAGTGCGGTTTCCCTCCACCCGGGAATGTCCGTACCGTTTTTGAAGACTCTTCCGATTCCTCTGACCCCCTGGTAGCGGCTGCCCCGGTCCCCCTCCATGTACGGGAACACTCGCGCCTGATGCGTCCAGTAATAATCTTTAGACCCAAAGAAAAACACAGGGAATTCTCCAATCTCGTGCTTCATTTTCTGAATATTTGGGGGAACATTTTTGGGATGGCAAACTTCTGCCGGCCACCATCTATTATAAATATTAAAAACAGGGTTCACAGACTCTTCAGACAAGAGTGACAGTCATTCAGTGCTTTCAGTCCTGCAAAGTGAAAAGAACACATGTGAACAGGGAGGCGGGCGGGCAGGGGCTCCAGTCCTCACACCTGTAGTTCCCCAGTTTAACCCAGACGACGTCCTGGAAGTGCAGCCGCTTCCCCGCACGGCACTCGTTGCAGAACCAGCTGCCGTCCGGCATCTCGATGCTCAGGCAGTCGGGGTGGAAGGCCGCCGGGCAGGACTCGCAGCACAGCAGGCTTCCCCCTGCAAGGGAGGGGGAGCGGCTCAGGGAGGCCCAGGCCCCGCACGCGGCCACCCCGCCCTCCCCCGCCGGGCACGGCTCATTCAGAAATGTCACGTGAGCGCTCGGGAGCTGTCGGGAGCGCCCACACCCAAAGCCGGGTGGACACGGGGCTCCAGGGGTTACCTGCGCGAGCTGTACGCCAAGGAGCCCAGAACAGCAGCCGGCCCGGACCGTCAGACCGACCCGACGCCTGACGCCGCCAAACGCCTCCCGCAGCACGGCCCTCACCTTTGGAGCACACGAAGCACCAGCTCACGTTCACGTGGGCGTGATGCCTCTTCCCCTTGCGCGCGGTGAAGTGGCCGCTGCAGATGATGCTGTTGGAGGCGATCACCGAGCAGCCGGCCGCCAGACAGGCATCCCCTCCATGGTAGGCGACGGGGCAGCGGACGCACCGCATCATCTTCCCTGGGGACAGAGACACGGCTGAAGGCCCAGCAGCGAACAGGGTGGCGAGAAGTAACCAAGCCCCACGTGCTTAGAAAAGTCAGGCCGAAAAAAGCTTGGAGTGTTTGATGAAGACAATAACTAGGATGGAAAGAGTATTTAAGAGATGTCATGAAAACATAGTCAAGCTCGTAAAATGCCTTATTCTTTTTTTTATTTTTTTAAATAAAAGTTTATTTTTGAGAGAGAAAGAGAGAGCGTGAGCCAGGGAGGGGCAGAAAAAGGCAGACACAGAATCCAAAGCAGGCTCCAGGCGGGGCTCATAGCCATGAACTGTGAGATCCTGACCTGAGCCAAAGTCGGTGGCCTAACCAACTGAGCCACCCAGGCGACCCGCCATATTCTTAAGTAAAGCCAAGCAGGGCTTGTAAACCCAGGCACCAGCAGCCTGCGGGGCTTGTAGTGGACTTAGCAGCAACTTCGGCTTCTACCCACTGGGTGCCAGTTCGTGCCCCCAAGGTCACCCCGGACATGGCCAAGTGTTCCCGACGTGCAACATCGCCCATGGTTGAGAACCACTGGTGTCAAAAAGTACAGAAAACCGGTCATCCTCAATTCCACACGCCTAGCATGAAGTGAGGCAGATACAACTTGATTTTAAAATATTTTTCTTGGGGCGCCTGGGTGGCTCAGTCGGTTAAGCGTCCAACTTCGGCTCAGGTCATGATCTTGCAGTTCACGGGTCGAGCCCCGCGTCGGGCTCTGTGCTGACAGCTCAGAGCCTGGGGCCTGCTTTGGACTCTGTGTCTCCCTCTCTCTGCCCTTCACCTGCTCACGCTCTGTCTCTCTCTCAAAAATACACATTAAAAAAGACTTTTTAAAAATCCGGAACAAAGATCAGAACGGTTCAAAGGCTCCCCATCATGACGGGAAGGCTCCAGGATGATATTTAGGGCAGAAAGAAGGGAATGCAGGGCGGATCCTCTTCTCGACTTCGAGAAAAACCCTACTAGCCCATGTCAAGTCAGTAACAGAAAGGCAAGTGTTACTCCAAACAAACACTGCAGGTCTTTGGGGACAGACCTTTCAGCGGCCACGCGGCAAAGCCGTGAGGGCGCCCTACCTTTAGACGGCCTGGGGTTGGAAGGGTTGGACGCGTGGCAGCTCAGGCAGCTGTGCAGGGGGCAGCGGAAGCCTCGGCTCTCGAACACGGTCAGCGGGTACTTCCTCACGCACGCTTCGTGGTAAAACTTCCCACACTGCGACACAACACAGCGCCTGACGTCCATCTGGCTCTCCTTACACACAAAACACGAGTGAATCCCTAACAAACGGTTAAAGAAAAGGGTGCAGAGAACAGGAATTAAATTGCTGTTCCTGAGCCACGACTCTGGCAGCCCTGTCCGAGGCGGCCTGTGCCACTCTGGCCTCTGGCTCTCTCTGGCCTTGGGGGCCAGTCCGGGCACACTTCAGGGCTACTGCCTCGCTAGGAGATGGGCTCCGGCTTCCCCGGAGGACAAGAAAGTCTGAGCAGGAGGAGGCTTAGGTGGGGACGGCCCTCGAGTTAGCGGGAAGCTGGAAAGGAGGCATTCCTCCGAGGAAAGGCTTTTACTCTCCCTTCTGAGCCATTAACCAAGGACAGTGAACCTTCACTTCAAAGCACAGGCAGAAGTGAGGTGGTGGCGCATCGGACGGCCTTGGCTTGGGACTGGAAGAACTCTCCGGAAGACTCCAGGCGTCTTCCTAACCTAGGACGTGCTCCCAGAGAGCCAGGAGGCCCTGAGGCCTGCCCACGGACGGGAGGGGCTGCACGTGGGGCCCATGGCCCCAGTGGCCCCCAGACCGCGCTGGGGGGTCCCGGTGCGGCAGAAGGAAGCCATGGCCACTCAGGGACAGGCTCAGAGCCTGTCCGTGTCCTTGCTCGGGGCCATGCTGTGTCTCTACAGAAGCCCACGTTCCCATGAACGTCTGTGTCCCATGAGCGGCCAGCTCACCTGTACTAGAGATGCGGGGCCCTCGGGCACCGGGGCACCCACGCCAGCCGCCTCCCAGCGCGGCACTCGGGCCAGCCCGTTCCGTCACTCTGCCGGTTACCATACACCGATCTACCTCCCGGTACGGCCACCCGACGGAAGGTCCCGAGGGGAGCGCATCACACCAAGGAGAGCAAACCGTGGGGGCACCAATGGGGGCACAAACCCATCAGGGCCGGGGCCGCCAGCTCCCGTGGCCGGGAAGCACAGAGGCAGGGGAGCAGCGGCGGGGGAGGGGGTTCCTCAGGGAGGGTCTCAGGCCTCCGACGGCGGTAAGGCCGGCAGGCGCCCGCGGAACTTGCCTGAGGTGCACTCGCTGCAGGTGAACCTCCCCTCCGGTCTCCGGGACAGGCCGAGGCAGGCGAGGTGGAAGGCTCCACAGCAGGGGCCCTGGCACAGCAGGAGGCTGCCCGGCTTCTCGCACAGCTGCGGGCGGAAAGGCCCGGACAGCGGTGAGGCCGGGCCGAAGCCCAGGGCGCCAGCGCACACCGCGAGCCGGCCTCCGCCTGACGTGGCCCACACGGCCTCGCCTCGGGGGCGGCCAGGCCCCGCCCCGGCTCGCGGCTCCCCTGCAGGAGGGGCCGCGTGGTGCCGGCCTCGCCCGTCCCCACCCGACCTCACGCGTCCGGGAAGCGTGCGCGTCACACGGCCGTGTCGTGCAGGGGCGCTGGGTCCGGCGCTGGGTCCGGCCCCGCCGGCAGCCCGGCTCCCTCACGACAGAAGCCCGTGTGACCGCGGGTGGAAGGGGGCCTGGGACCCGGGTCAAAGACCAGAAGCAAGAGGCGGCCGTCCCCTCACCTGACACACGTACTCCTTTTTGGCGGCCACGCCCCGCTCGGACTTCTTGGAGGACACGGACACCTCGGTCTGGGCTTCGTCGGCGCTCTCGTACGGGGACTCCGCGGGCTCGTCTCCCGGGCCGTCCGACACCTGGGGGCGAAGGAGGCGGACCACAGTTCACCAGTGGGGATGGCGGCGGGTCACCGCACACACAGGCCGGCTCGGCTCCCGGCCCCGAGCGCCAGCTCCTCGTCACGAAGGCTCGGCGCCAACGGTCTCTCGCGGCGGCGCGGCCGCAGCCAGACTGCGTGGAGGCTCAGGGCGGCCCCGGCCCCGTCCGCGGCATTTCGGGCCACGCGTGCGGAAGGGGCACTGAGGCTCGCGTCTTCGTGTTCCTGACATCCTGACAGAGGAAGGGACTCGGGTGGAAACCCCATCTGTCCCAGCAGGTGACCCAGGACGGGCGTTGGGACTGGGAATCTTGACCTCTCTGGCCCAGTCTCTCACGGCCCAGCTTTTCACAGTAAGAGAAACAGATCAGCACCCAGTGCGTTTCCAGAAAAGCCAGAGCAAGGGTCAGGAGGGAGCCTCCGCACGGTGGCCCGGGGCCCTCTCCCGCCGTGCCGGGGCCCGGACACTCTTCTGGAAGCCGCCAGCACACGCAGTGGGCCCCACGCCAGGGCACCACGCCCACAACTAACCGGCCGGCCGTTCTCACCCTCCGCCTGTGCCCATTTCCCCGCACAGGTAAGTCTAGGAGAAAAAGGCGGCTTCCTGGAGCAAACAAGGTCCCCTCCCCCGGCCAGGCTGTAGCTCATCCCCCTTCAGGAACAGGGGTCACGAAGGCCGGGCTAAAGCCTCCCCCTCGTCACTGGATGCAACGTTTCCCCCTCATCTGAGCAGCAATAAATCTCTAACTAGAAATCAGTAAATCTTTAGTAAGAAAACTTTCTTATATACCAAATTCAAATTTTAAAAAAGCTAAAAACACACTCAGTGTTTATTTGAGGTTAGGTAAATGGAATGTTGAAAACTGAATTTTCAACATAGCAAAAGTATAAACTACATTTCCTGGATAATCACAAGTAATTATGTTATAGGCCTGCTGTTTGCCAATGAACACAAACCTAGAAATTAAAATCGGGCCACATTTAAACAAAACAAAACAGAATCCCCACCAGTCAATTCACCCCATTCTGTGGTCTTATCAACGAACTTCTTCCAGAGTGAGCTCGCTGCAATTACAGGGAGCAGAGAAACACTCAGAGCGGGGGGCAGGGGCCAGTCTTGGGAGGGATGTGCTGCCCCTGGCTGGTGTGTGCACGGCGGGGGGCCAGGGGCGTGGGCCCAGAACCCCAGCCTCGCTCCCCTAAACTGGACGCCTCCCACAGTAACGCGGTCTCAGGAGAAAGCAGCCTTGGCACTTGAACTCCTCACGTTTCCCAGAAAGACAGAAATAGTGGCATGAATGTACACTAAGTTACGGGGTCTCCACAGCTCTCCCCCCAGGCTGGCCAGATGGGGCCGCTCCCTGTCAGCTTAGCTCATCCACTCCCGTATCAACATCCAGAAAGAAGGCAACCTGAAAAAAAAACTCTGCGTTCAAACCCAATTTGAACACGTCCATCGGATCCGGAGTCACAGATGGGTGGGGCTCGAGACGCCAGGGGCACTGGGGAGCCCGGGGTATCGGGAACACCAGCCACACCTCCTGGCCCCAGCCAGACAGCAGCCCGAGGCTGACCGGTCTGGCGAGGATCCGAGGCCCAGAGAAACGGCCTTCGACACGGGCTCAGGGAAAGCGAGCTGGCACCCTGCCCACCACCCACGCTCTTCCCTCAATGTGGTCGGAACAAACTGAAAGCTTTAAAAAAACAAAACAAAACAAAAAAACAAAAACAAAAAAAAAATGCATGGAGAGAAAGACAGAAAACACAGACCAGTCCTGGGTCAAAGGAAGGAACAGCACCTTTTATTTAAGATTTACAGAAAAAGTTAGCACGTTTCCACTTGGAGATATTTCCTAAATTAACAAAGTCTGTTTTGAGGAAATAAACACTGAATACATATTTTGAATGGAAATATAAATGTTAAGACACACATGAGGCTTGTTTCCTGATCGGGGTCTGAGATACACATACAGAATACAGGCCTTACAATGTTACAGTCCGTGACACAGATGTGGGGGCGACTGCGCCCTTCGGCCCCCCGAGCCCCTTCCCAGCGACCCGACAGCCACTAGCACAGTCGGAGGGAGGGATCCACCGGCTCTCTGCTCGGCAAACCGCCCGCAGGAAGAGCAAAGCACGTGGGCACCGTGCCAGCCTCTACTCCGGGTGCAGGGCTCCGCCTCCACGGGCACCAGGTGACGGGACTTACTCGGAGATGCCGTTTGTGCAAGCGACACATTCACCTGAGTGGTCCCGACACAGTCCCAAATCTCAGTCTACGACATCTACGGTCTATTCCATATCCAATAGGATGCATTTGGAAAAAGAAAAATGCAGTAACTGAACGGACACAGACTGGCAACAACTTTCCCGGTGCTTTCCCGCTCCGCCAAAGCCACTCTCGTGGCACGATTTCCAAGCAGCTTAGTTCCTGACTTTTCCGAGTTTCCTGGAGTCTGAAAATACTTTCTCTACCCTCCACTCAGTATGTGATGGTATAACATTGCCCGTTTGCCTTACACGTGTGCTACTTTAGGGCAGGGACTGTCAAGATGATGTTCACGAACACAAAGTAACCTAGTGAACATATGTGAACCAACTTCAGGAAACCGTCCTCTCTGCTGTGACTGGAAAGGCCCCTGCGCCTCAGACGGCGGTGTACAGACTGATTTTTAAATTTCTTGACAAAACAAATCCCTTCACAAGTCGAATACCACATCATTTTTGAAATACAATTACAGACCTTGAACAATAAATATTTCTATAAACCAACATTATTTCCATGTTTAAGTTACGCTTTTGTAAAGGAAGAAAGAACTGTAAGTACTTTCACACAGCATTTTGGATTTACAAATGATAAATGTCCTGTGCTCAGCAGATTTAACGAGCTCAAAATCAAAAGACCAATCTTAGGTCCTCCAGGTTAACATCACAGTGAAATATTAAGAGTGGACTTAAAATAATTTTTAAATCAGTCATTCATCACCTAAAATACTACAGTTCAGAGTAACTTTTATTATAGCGACCCTCCTAGATGGCATCGACTAGAACGTCCTGGCTGCCCCTTTGTCCTCGGGCCGGGTCTGGGTCACTGAGAACACACAGGTCTCGAGCTCACACGCACCCACCTCCTGACCTGGGGGCTTCTGTGCCGTCCAAGCGCCCCAGAAGGTTAAGTGAGAGCCAAGAAGCTGGCAGGGCCACAGCACAGGCCACGTGGCTGCCACTCCGGATTCAAGGCCGGCCCTGATCACGAGTGAGGGGAGTCTCTAAAATGTCCTATCAACCGCGTTCTCAGCAGCGGCCACCCCGCAGAGAGGCCCTGGGGGAGGGGCTGGCCTGCGCAGGCCACGGCATCAGCAAGGCAGGGCCACGCAGCAGAAGCAAAGCTCCCACCTGCAGCTGAGCAAACCCTCCCCCCTGGGCAGGCCACCCACCCCCGCACCCTTGCATAGGCTGGCATTTCTTAAAGATACAGTGTGCCTGAATGGTTAGCATGGTTTAAAATGTACACCGAAGAATTATATGCCAAAACTCAACAGCTCCACGCAGGCCAGAAAGGTTACAAAGTGGATCTAATGTGTAGCCATCTAGTCACCAAGGTCTCTAACAAGATGAGGCCTAATCAGTTCTTGAAGGGAGCCTGAGGGAGGCCTCCCTTGCTAGTGACAGGCCCTGGAATGGAGTATGGGAGGGAGTGCGCCATCTCCCAGACAGTACAAGGACCAGGGTGAACGCAGTGCATGCCGTTTTCTACTTGCTAAGGACAGCTGGCTTTCCACCCACAGCCAGTAAGTCAGTGGTAACTTCTTTTTGTAAAAAAATTTTTTTGTGTTTTATTTATTTCTGAGAGAGAAGGAAAGTGAGCAGGGAAGGGTCAGAGAGAGGAGAGACACAGAATCTGAAACAGGCTCCAGACTCTGAGCTGTCAGCACAGAGCCCGACGCAGGGCTCAAACCCACGAACCATGAGATCATGACCTGAGCCAAAGTCGGACGCTCAACCGACTAAGCCACCCAGGAGTCCCAAGTCAGTGGTAACTTCTAATAGTCGAGGTAAAACAGCAAAATAGAACTTAAAAGGGATCAAAATCAATGTCACTAACCAAAAATCCTAAAATATACAGGAGCCGGTATACTTCTAAAAAAAAAAGGGGGGGCGTAGGGAGGAAGACAAATCTGTAAGAGCCAATAAGCAGCCAGTAACAGACCGGAGAGCATGTGGAGAACCCTTTTCTAATCAGACTTCATTCTTTCAGCTAAAGACTATCCTTTAAATCCCTATTCCAGAAGATGAACAGCAGGCCTCAGCAATTACTTTCTCTGTTTAAAGATTCTTAAAAGTTGAAAGCACTGGCCGTAAAAGCGTGGAACGCTACAGCCTCGCACGAAGTAGAAAGAGCCCTCACCAGGTTCCGCACGGAAATCTACTGGCCAGAACCACCTTAAAAAGGACTTAAAGACTTAAGGGGGCTAAACACGGTCGAGAAGCATTAGGTCAGAAATCAAGCGAGAAAGGAATCCAGCAAACCTGCCCAAGTGCTGGTGTCTGCCCCTCGCGACGGGAGCTGGGCCACGCGCGGCCCTCTAGGTCACTGAGCCGCCCCTTCCTGCTGCACTGGATGGAATGAACGGAGGACTTGACTTAAGAACCCTTGTACTATCATGAAACAGCAAGTGAGGTCACAGCCCACTGTCCCCGGAGCAGGCCCCACACCACACAGGTCGGGAGTGGCCGAGACCGCTCTTCAGGGCACTTCTTTATCCTTTTAATTGTAGGCCTGCACACAGGTGTGTGGTTTTTTTGTTTGCTTTTTTGGAACTATATGCTAACTTACAATCTCAGTTTTATTTTTTGGGGACGCTGCCAAGACAGACCACCGCTGGGTATTCACATCACGGCCCCTGCGCAAACAATGGCCCTCCTCACATACTTCCGGTTCCACACCACAGGCGAGCAGCTCAGGGCCTAGAGACCACG